TCAGATATAGAGTTACCTTTACTCCAGGCATAGGTTAGCCCTATTACCTGTGTGTGCCTCACCTGAGTTCCACTGAAGGCTGAGTGTTCAACAAAGACTCTTCTTGGCTGCTATGAACCTTAACATTTATGACATCTTGTAAGCTTCAGATTTTAGTTCTCTAATCATTCTGCTTCTAGTCTTATAGAGTTGGATCTCATGATTGTGTGGCTAAGAATTTAACAGCAAACTCAAGGGATCCCTATGGAGATCTACTTCTCCCTGAAACACCTTCCCTCTAGTACTTTGTCCTGAAAAGCCTCCAGAAACTCTGCTGTTTGTCCCAGAAATTCAATAAAACTACCATGTTCTGCTTGGTACTCCTTTTCTTGTAGAAAGACCAGAACAGAAAACTTACTTCTCTTCTCCTGGAGATTACAGTGCTGCACTGTTTGTCATACAGTATCTGAACAGCTTATTTGAATACACTGTATGTAGTAGGAAAGTAAGTCCAGTCCCATTTACTCCATAATGGCCAGGAGTAGAAATACCCACACTTTATTAATAGAAATCACTATAAAATACATCATTTGTGGGGTTTTTGCATGATACAAGTTGTTAGTAATCAAAGGATATTTCAGACATATACAGAAAATTATGATAAATACAGTACTAAGTACTACTATACTTCTAATTTTCATAAGCACTGACAATACTATTAGATAATGACTTCTAAGATCTACTATCACTAGAAAACAAAAAAAGACAAATTCAATTTTAATTATCTCTGCTTTATATTTGAATAAGGAAAAATATCTTCAGAATATTGTTCTTTTTCCCCTTTTTAGCAGAGTCACTTTATCAAATCCTAAGTCTTTAGCTACAATAATTTCTAACCACATTGACAAGAGTATTCAGATATAAAATAGACTTGTAACACTTAAAAACTGCTAAATGGCTTGTAATGATTTTGTGATTTTTCTTTTCTTTAATCTTTAGACTTCATGAGTCATTCAGTCCAGTGCTAGGGGCACCATACAAATTTAGTTTATAAAAGCTTGAACACTTAAAATCAGATCCCAAAATTAATCAGTTTAAAAGTTTGACCTTTTCAGTTACTAAATCTGTATTAGTGATTGAGTTGCTTATTTCATCAACTTACTTTATTATATTAAGATAGGTGCTACTATTTGTTTACCAACTCTTGGATTGTCCTTTATCCATATATTAAAATTTCTGTAAGTCTTGGGTGCCTGGGTGGCTCAGTTGGTTAAGCAACTGCCTTCGGCTCAGGTCATGATCCTGGAGTCCCGGGATCGAGTCCTGCATCAGGCTCCCTGCTCAGCGAGGAGCCTGCTTCTCCCTCTGACCCTCCCCCCTCTCATGTACTCTCTCTCATTCTCGCTCTCTCAAATAAATAAATAAATCTTTTTTAAAAAATTTCTATAAGTCTTATTTGGAAAGATGAAGGCAGTAGTTTCTCAGAACTTTTAAATACTTATTGGCAGAACTTAGGTCCTTAAAGAGGGCAATTATGAAGGATTTTTTTTCTGATTAGCTAATAAGTTTAATAAGAATTATTTTAAGTTACCTACACGTTCATATTCACTGTATCATAAACAAGCCAGCAGGTGGCAAACTTGAGATTTTTTTATACTATGGCTCTTATTGAAGATGTACAAGTATTGAACCCTGTATCTCTGGATCTCATGAATAGCTCTTTTGGTGTAATATGACATAAGAAAAATTAAACCCTCTAATTGTAGAGCCATTGGTGTTTGGATAGCAATGCACTCTATTTATGCATGTATTTATTTAGTTTTAATTTGATTTGCTGTTTTATCCTATAATTCTTTCTCTAACAAATCATTTTGAGAGATATAAAATGCCAGTTTGAATCCATTTTTGTTATGGTTTCCATGATTATGAAAGTAAATTTTAGTGGTCCTTTTGTTTACTTTGGGAGGAACTTTATATTATTTAAAAGGGCACAGAAAATCTACTTTTTTCCCAGAACAGATAATATTCTTTTGATAGTTCTAACAGCATTGATCCCCATGTTTTTAAACACAAAACATAATTTCCTGTGGATAATTATTGTTTTTATTTTATTCCTATAAATGTTTCTGTTTATGTGTGACTCACTTGTAGTCATTGGTAAGTGAAGATGGATATAGTTTCTTCTATATAAAGGTTTGGGCTTTGCACCAATGACCCAGGATCACTCAAGGTTGGTTATATTCAGGCATATGATTAGGCTTTGGGATATTTAAGTAAACATATTTCTAGCCATCACATTCAGGGATAATTCAAACATAACATATGACTTACTCATTTCTTTCTCTCTTTGAAATCCATCTATTGTTAACACTACCTGTATGTCTTCTATAAAATTAATTTCCCTTCCTGTAAGTTACACTCCTTCCAAATGTCTGCATTAACCAATGTATTTTAATAATTACTGTAGCTTGTTATTCTCTTTCAAATGGAGAAGAATTAAAAAAAAAAAAAAAGGAAAAGCAGTGACTGAAGACAAACCAAAGTTAGGCAACCTAGATACTTCATTATTTCTACATATAAATTGGATCATTTAGATGACTTCTACAAGATTTAAATAAAATAAACTGTGCTTTATTAACACCAAAAAATATTTGAAGGATTCTAACAATTGGCTATTTGGCACACTGAGCTTTCAAGATGTGGAAAATGAATTCACTAATTAGTCAACATAAATGTTTGAATTGTTCCCCAAATTTCACAATAACTGAGGACTCTTTAAGGCCTGATAAGTTATAATTCTTCCTGCTTTTATATATTTTTTTAATAATTTTTTTAAAGATTTATTTATTCATTTGAGAGAGCGAGAATGAGAGAGAGTACATGAGAGGGGGCAGGGTTAGAGGGAGAAGCAGGCTCCTCGCCGAGTCGCCAAGCAGGGAGCCCGATGCGGGACTCGATCCCGGGACTCCAGGATCATGACCTGAGCCGAAGGCAGTTGCTTAACCAACTGAGCCACCCAGGCGCCCCCCTGCTTTTATATTTTTAAGGGAAGAGAAGACTCAAGTTTTTTTTAAATGTGGAGTATAAATATATCATAAAGAAAGTAAATTATAGTGTAGAATTGAATGTAAACTATTAAACAAGCCCTGAACCAAATTTAAGAAAATTGAAATTGGTGCTTATGCTTTAGATTGCATATCACTCAGCTTTAGTGATCTCGGCATTAGGGCTTTAAAAAAAAGAAACTTCTAAGCAGAGAGATGCCTACATTGCACTAGTCTGCATGTATTCAGAGGTCAAGATGTCCTGGTTTTGTGTAATGTTTCCTAACTCAATTGTCCTTTCTTCTATTTTCCTTCAATCTACCTCCAGCTGTGAAACCCAGTTTTTGAGAAAGATGGCTCATACCCCAAAACACCTTCTCATCTCCCTGCTTCCTGAATCTCCCTGATAAACTACCCTGTGATTTTTCATGAGGTAAAATCAGGGACATGAAAATGGGGTCCAGACACAGCAATTCCTAGACTTCTAGAGCCCCATGTGTATCAGACTACAACACAAAAACACCCAAGCTAGGGTTGGCTCCTGCCCTAATGATTCTGAATGACTGTCAATTGTTCAATGAGCCAGATTTTTGTTTTTAATAATGCCCTTTCCAATGAAATACTTAAATGTATACACTTCTTGAATTTGAATGAGAACACACGGTCCCAGTCGTGCTCAGTCTGGTGATGCATCCCCAAAGTGTAGCATTTCTGCTGGGTAAGAGCAAGGGTCTGCCGGCTGGAGAGGAACAGCCACCAGTATCCCCACAGAAGACTGTCGGGCCAATTGTGTCTCTACACCATCCCGCCACCGACACGCAAGGGACAGGTCGTGACAATGGAGAGTTGGCGCTCCTTATGAACAGGCTTGAGTCTAAGCTCTTTAGAAAGAGGTGTTCCTGGGTGAGAGTCCTTAGGAGTCCTAGTGAATTTAGGAGTCTGGCCTTTCTCCACCGCTCTGCTCTTTCTTTTTTGCCCAGTGTGCCCCCACCTTACCCCTTGTACACGCAGAAGAAAGTTTTACACAAAATGAGCCCCACGTTGACGTAGGCATCCCTCCCCTTCCATCTGGATAAAAGCCCGGAAGGGAGCTAGTAGGGGAGATGCGGAGGTAGGGATCCTTTGGATCACTGTGGTCAGGGTCCCGAGGCGTGGCCGATCAGGAGCCAGCCAAGAGTAGACCCACAAACATATCAGGCTTTTCCTTCCTCCATCAACCTCTCAAATCCCAATGAGGTCACTGAAATGAAAGAGAATCAGACCAAGAGAGAGGGGGAGGAAGAGGACGACGACGAGGGAGAAGAAACCCAGACAGAAAAAGGCCATCAGACAAGGTCGCTTTTTCTGGCGACACAGCAACTGCGAGGAGCGTGGTACTGAATATATCCGCCCGCTCAGCCTGGGGACCGAAGGACTCGCAGAAGCACTTTGTGTTACCACGAAAACAAAGGAGAGGAGACGGGAGGGAGAGAGAGAGGGAGAAGCTCTGAGCAGTTCCGCTTTGGATCTCCGGGAAACAAGGTTCATCTCCTCCGCAAGGAAAGAAAGGGGAGCCTGAAGGGTCTGGGAGGTGAGAAGGGAGCAGGTTTCCTGCGGAGACTTGGGACGCGGCAGAACTCTGGACAGCGCCTCGCGAGCGGGGCTCATTGCTCCTGGCTCCTCCAGGTTTCTGGCTCCTTCTTGAAAGCCCTTCTTCTGGTGCACTCTCCTCTCCTGGACTCCGACCACCAGACCCAGGAAAATCCTACGATTCCTGTCTGAACGTGCCAGGGGGTGGAGCGAGTCGGCCTCTGGCCCGGTCCGGGAAGAGGGTCTCCGGTTCTGGAAATCTAGTCCTTGTGGATAATGCTTCGCTGGTGAAGAAAGAAAAGTTTTGGGGTCTGGTAGGGGGCGGAAGGGGTAAGGAAGATAGTGGAAGGAAGAAGGTGGATGGTTGGTTTCCCTCTCTGATCTGGAAGGAATGATGACCGAGGAAGGATGTGCACCAGCGGCCAGATTATTGGGAGCCTCTTGGTGCTCTCTGTGCTGGAGATAGGGCTGGGGGTGTCCAGCGTGGCCGTGGGGGCGGTCAGCTTCAGCCTGGCCCTCCGAGAGCACAAGCCGCAGCTCGGAGACTCGTCCCCGGTATGGAGCGGGGTGTGTGTACGTTGAGCCATTTCACTCTCTCTTTACCTCTTTACGGTGATGGTCAGTGTGCGTGCGTTAGTCACTCCCTCCCTGGGGGAGAAAATCATAAATCTCCTCTGGCTTGCATGTAGGTTCTTGTTGGCAGACTCTGCCTCTTTATGTTGTCCTTTTATTTACTAATTGTTTTTCCCCCCCTCTTACCTTGGCCTAAGACCAAATTAAATGGCTTTGTTTAAAGTTGGGGGTGGGGGAGGGGAGTTTCCACTAGCAGAAGCTGCATAAGGCTGCTTAGTGGTGCTGATTAGGGAGTCACACCTGTCAAGGGCAGACTCACTTAGCCTGTTTCTTTTACAAGGAAAATCAAAATGAAAGTGTTACATCATTTTCTTGTATGCAAGGGTAGATTTATGCATTTATTTCTGGGCAGCAGGGTCCAAGGTACAGTAAAAAGGCGGCACTGATATAACAAAAAGAAATGTGTGAGTGTAAAAGGAATATTTTATCCCAGAAAACATTGCTCTTAATCTTTCTTTGCTAGCTTTCTGATACTTCACATCTAAAAACTCTTTTGTAAATTCTAGGCAATAAGTTAAACAATGAATGGTATGATATGTAACAACATTCTAATTGGAGAATAACTCAGCTTAAATAGTACCTAATGCTCAGAGAAAAGGTCATAATTTCCTCTAGGTCAGATGTCAGACCCAATGACCTTCTTGTTTGCTCTGGGTGAATCTCCAGGAAAGCCTCAGAGACCCACTCCTTCCACCAACGATCAATAAAATGACTGCACTATTCCTAGTGTGGACCTAATTGTGAAAATAATTTTTTCTTCTCCTTTAAGTTATATACCTTCTACATCCTTCTTGGTTTCTAGCTTGATTCCAGTTTCCAAGATAATTTAATAAGATGCTATTCTGTCACTGATGATCAATAGGTGTAATTAACAATCATGGTTTGGTTATTTGTGCTTTGAGTCACTGAGGGGGAAAAATGACTATGGGTTTAAGAAAAATCCTTTTGAAGTAAGTCATTTTTGAGGGAAGTTCTAGTATTTTAAAAAGTGGTACAATTGTGCTTTGGAAAAATGGTTTTTATATTTTAATTTTTCAAAATGAGGCAAATGCTTTTAAATTGCAGAAGTTAAAAGGAAAAGTAAAAATGGTACTCAATTTCCACACTGACTTTTTCCTAAGAATCCTTGTTCTGAATTCAATAAGTTACTATCAACCTGCAAATAATTACCTTTTTATTGATTATGTAATTTTTTTATCAATATACACTTTAAATTTAAATATGAAAGGCTAAAGGCAAACCTTAAATTTGGTCATTTTATATCTTATATATTATTATTATTATTTAAACAGAAATAAACTTTAAAACTTCTACCAGACAATTGTCAAAATGAAATAGAATACCAACATTTAAAACAAAGGGGAGAAAAAGTGACCTTTTGATGGCTTACAAGGGAGAAGACTCAAATACTCTTCAAATCACTTCCCCTCTTAAATGTGAGAAATTGGGTGAATAAACATAGGTTGTCTCTAAATAGTATTAAAGTATCCATTTTATTTTCAAGAATTAAAAAAGTGGTTACATTTGCTTGGTATCGCATAAGAGAAATAATTATTTTTTTTCTTCCCAGACTATTTACCATTATCTAAATGAGTCAACATATGTATTTGTACAAAAAAATAAATTTTTGAATCAGCTCAATAAAAAGCAAGTAAAAGAATAATATGTATAGTCATTATCATAAAGAATTAGTTCCATTTTCAACTGGTTCTTTAGAGTAACCAAAATTCAGCTAGGACCCTCAAACAATAGTTTTGAATTCTGTCATCTGATTCAATAAAAATTTTTAAAGAATGCATGTAATTGAATTAATGGATTTGAAACTAGGAGACCCAAACGGGTCACTTTTTGATCACTTTCATAAACTCAAGTTAAAAAAATCAAATTTGTGAAGAAATACTCAGTTTTGATCACTACTTATTACATTATAAACTTGCCAAATTGATTTTTTAAATTGTTTCTCAGAGGTCATTTGTGATATAGTCTGAATTATCTCTTATATCTGTCAATGATGAATTCACTTAACCAGTATCAACAGAGGGCTTACCATGTGCATTTTACTTTTTAACACAAAGACCATTAAGATGAATCAGAATACCTAGCAGAAGAAACAAGAGGAGTACATCACTAACTTTATCAGGGGTGAGAAATTAAAGTTTGACCTTAGAAAGATACAGGGGCAGATGAAGGGGAGAGAATTTGGGGAGGTCAGTGAAATATCCATGGGAGAACTGTTTTCTCTTGATCTTGACAGTTTACTGGGACTTGTAATTTATGTATCACAGTGTTAAGTAATGCATCACAGAGTGAAATCTGAAGTCTACCTGGGTGCAGATCCCAGATCTGTCATTTACTATCTGGATGACTACCAAAGTTTCTCATATTCTGGAAAATAGGGTTGTTAAAAGGCACAAATGAAATAATGCTTTTAGTAAATGCATGGTGTGTAGTAAACATTGAATAAATGCAAGCTACTAATCCCGGGTGCACAGACTGGCAGTGAAGGGCATGAGAAATGAGAGCCTTTCAGGCAGCATGGATGAAGGTACAAACGGAGACGTATGGGTTATGTTCCAGGTGGAATAGGCTCTTCTATTTTTCTGGGGCTTATGTGTGAGGGGAAGATAAGGATGGAAAGAGGGCTGGGGCCAGACCACGGGAGGCTGTGTGCCAGCTGAAAGCAATAGATTTATTTCCTCATATTTTTAATAATAATAATAATAATAATAATAATAATAATAATAATACCACCAATTCTTACTTCCCAAAGAGATTCAAGGAGATGCAGAGGAAAGCTAGATCGAAAATTATCACTCTCTTTGGTATTTTATGAATTTAAAAATCTATATTATTTATGAACACTAGATGGGATTTTATAATTAACCTGTCACGATAACCACAGTCTATAATCAGGGTGTGTTTTGATCAGTGCCATGAAGTTTTTTTCAATACATTATTGTCATTATTACAAGATCTTTTCATTAAATTTTAGAAGTCAAATAAAACTGTACTATGAAGGTATTACTTTTTATGTATGGATTCTGACATCATAAGCTTTTTATCTAGGTCAAGTGCACTAAGAATTCAGGCAACTATTTTGATCTTTGAACCCAAATACACACATTTTTTAAAATGTGGCTTAAAAATAAAATAGTAAAATAACATAAAGGGCTTAAAAATCCATGGGATGGATACTTATATTTCCAGTCACTATTTCATAATCAGGCAAGGGTTCTTTCTGTGATCACTATGGGCAATTAGCAGGAAAAAAATATTTCACTATAATTTCATAGAGAAAGAAAGCTGTAAATGCCTTATAGGATTTTAGCTTCTTCTTATTCACTTGTTATAGCTGATAGAGTCACCTGTTGAAAGCCTAAAAGAAGACATTACTGCTAGATAACAATGAGAGAACCATTGGGTGAACTGTTTTGGAAAGACAGTCATGTAAAATATAATTGATGTGTAAGATTTATTGACGGAGTTAAATAGACAAGGCTGTTTCCAAGTTGCTATGTGATAGTCACTTTTCTCCATCTCCAGTGCATCATCTCTAATGGAAATTGACTGTATTTAGTAGTACACAGATTCATGGTTCCAAGAGGATTTATTTTTTGTTGTTCTAGATTGGCACTTAGAAATATAGAGATTCAGATGGTTGTGTCCAGAACAACATCTGGTGCTAAGTTGTATTTGATATATACCATACCAAATTCCATCCACCTGTATCTGATAATTATTCTATAAATTAAATGTATTAAAAAGAAATTCTCTTTTTTTAAAGATTTTATTGATTTATTTGTCAAAGAGTGAGAGAGAGCACACAAGCAGGGGGGAGCAGCAGGCAGAGGGAGAAACAGGCTCCCTGCTGAGCAAGGAACCCAGGGCAGGACTCGATCCCAGGACTCTGGGATCATGACCTGAGCTGAAGACAGACTTAACTGACTGAGCCACCCAGGTGCCCCTAAAAGGAATTTTCTAAGCCTTATCTACCCCACATGTAAACACAGTCTTCAAAAAAATTTTATCTAAATCATACCAAGTTTGAATGATTTTTATTGCTAATTTTTCTAGACAATACTTGATTTGTATATTATAACTTTCTCCACTTAGTAAATCTGATACTTTAGGTGAGTGAAATTTATAGCATAATCAAGGCTACCTGTTATGTGGACTCCCGATTTACCATGGCAACAACCCAGCCAATTGTAGGTTTGTGTTGAAATTCATCTACTGTACCTTCTGATCCCTACTATAGCAATATAAAGAGGTGCTATATATAATTGAGAGCTGCCTCAAAGTATTATTTTTAATAATTAAATCTAGTCCAATTCATTTAAGGGACAACAAATGAAACAAGGTCAAAGAAACCTCTCAAACATTTGAAGTTACTTCAAATGTATAAAATTTGAAGCTAGTATGTCTCTAATCAGATGATATATCACTTTTCTCCAGATTCAAAATATATAACTTAAAGGATTCATATTTCCTAGCATGAGAGGAAATCATTGCCCCATCCTCATAAAAAATTATAAACATACATTTATAACCAATTTTAGGATTAGTTTTAGTCATATAAGTAATTCAAGCATAAATTCTCATTTCAAAAGGTTAAAAAAAGAATCAAAGCTGAAGTTCTCTACCACTTCATCAAAACTAGCCACAATTACAAATTTAGTGTGTAAACTCATAGATATTTCGCCACATAGGAATAGTATCATTTGAACATATAGATCAATTTTAAGTTTTTGGATATAATAAAGCTCATTTGTGGACTCTGTAGAGCCCACATGAAGAATCTCTTATCTGATTCATACTGTTATTCTCAAGTGCCACTTTTATCTACTAGGGTTAGGGCTATTAGATACTTGGCAATTAAATCAGTTGGACAAGCCAAACTACTAGGAAGTGTAATTATTATTCAAGGAACCATATTGTGT